GTATTCTTAAAATGCATTCAAAATTCTGAATAATTTGTAATATATAATTATTCACGGTATTTAGAAATGCCCACGATAACAATATCGTGCATATTCATTACCGTGATATATCGCATTACCGAATACCGGCACAAGTCTACAGTGGATGGACTGTTTTGAAACTTATATGGTAGTTACATAGCACCTAGACCTCAGTTATCATGAAAAAAGCCAGAAAATTTCAGTTTTGACAATATGGGACCTTTAAAAACATGCCTGCTTTTCTCTTCTTTGAAGACACTTCATGGCATGGATTTTATGATTTTATCTAATACTCAATGCCAGCGCTGCTCTGCCTTCTGTGACCCTGCTGAAGGCTTCAGCTGTCAACATGTGAAAAGAGATGGCATTAATCTGTGTGCATTTGGAAATATTAAGGAGTGTTTGGTACTGCTTCCCCATTTTGGGAATTCTGCCTCTGTCTTTCTCTCTCTGGGAATGTTTACCCACGCTGAGACTAAAAAGCTAATGCTTTTCCAAGGACATGCTGTACACAGCACATGGAGCACGTTCAGTGCCCTGCTCAGACTTACACGGTCCCCGTGTCAATAAAACACACACACATAGACTGGAAATGGATGGTCAGCATCTTTTACACCTTTTTTTAATGGTTTTTAGTGGTTATGCTTTATGATTACGTCTTACCTGTCACAAATGTAGGGCTCTATGATTTCCATGATGCAGGACAGAATCACGGAATCCATTCAAAAAAATAGAATTTACAGTATAATTTGTACCGAATTTGAAAAATGTTTGATGAATAAATCAAAAGTAAGGCTTTTATATCAGCTCTCTGTGAATATTAATGTGCAAAACGTCAGCATGTTCAGAAGGTTATTATTGTAAAAATATTAATAAATTATGAAATTATTATGATTGAATTAAAACGTTTTTTGAATTCAGTTGATTAGGCATGCGTTTTGATTACTGACATTTAATTCAACCATTAAAACGGAATCCAGAAAAAATACAACAAACAAAAAGGAATCAAGAAAAATTATAACAGAAAAAAGAAAATTAGCAAAATTAAACCGAATTTGGGAAAAAATAAAATAGATTTCCTGCATGACTAGGGATGTAATTATTCACTCAATTCACGATGCGATATGATTTATGATACTGATTTACTGACGTTTTTTTTCTTTCTTTTTTTAACAAAATTAGATTTAAGACAAATGAAAAGGTGTCCTTTTATTATTTCTCAGACAAAATGCTGTATATTTCTTTGTGAAAGTGAAATATGTCGGAAGAACAAAACTAAATTGAATATTTAAAATCCCAAATCAAATAAATAAATATTACAAATAAAAGTGATCTCTCAATATAAACAAACTAAGGCTATTCTTGTGCTCTTTCCATTTAAAATGAGAGGCAACCACTGCATTTTAATCACGATCCAAACAAAGATGCTGCACACATGCACCATGAGCTGTTTTTAATCTAAATTAGATTATATAATTTCAAAATTTAAAGCAAAAACAGAACGGACTTTAGTTTTGTGAAACTATTTAAGACAAATTATAAATTAAATGTGTCCTTTTATTATTGCTTGGACAAAATGCTGTATATTTCTTTGTGAAAGTGAAATATGTCGGAAGAACAAAACTAAATTGAATATTTAAAATCCCAAATCAAATAAATAAATATTACAAATAAAAGTGATCTCTCAATATAAACAAACTAAGGCTATTCTTGTGCTCTTTCCATTTAAAATGAGAGGCAACCACTGCATTTTAATCACGATCCAAACAAAGATGCTGCACACATGCACCATGAGCTGTTTTTAATCTAAATTAGATTATATAATTTCAAAATTTAAAGCAAAAACAGAACGGACTTTAGTTTTGTGAAACTATACTACATAAAACTTGGGGTGCATCGTTACATCCCTAATGGTGACAATAAAGAAAGGAATTTGTCCATATGAAAAAAACAACAAAAAAAAACAGAATTGTTTGTTTAATAAAAATGAGAATCTGTCCAAATTAATAGACCTGAAGTTCATGTTTGACATGTAAGGTGATGTTATATATATTTTTTAATTATTCAGATGCTTTCTCCTGTCCAAATTTAAAATGCAGAGACCGCTATAATTGGCTTAACCAATGGTGTGAGATTGAGTCAGACTTTCTGTTTGCACTAATAATAGAAGACAACAGGAGTGTTTGAGAAACCAGTTTGAAAACAATCATTTTTGCAATGAAATGAATGGTGCAGAAATCACACACATCTTCAAACTCTATACTAAATAGTGTACATGCGACACATGCAGCCTCTTGGCTTATTCTATTGTGATTATTATTGGTCATTCGAAGTCTTCTGGGGTTAAAATGTTTGGCTGTAATGAGCACAAAACTCCTGAACTGAACTTTCCCCCAGATAACTGATTCCCAGCGTAACTTTGCTAGTTTTGTGACTCTCATAACACTCCACAGTCTTCTCACATAATTAAATTTATCCAACTTCTTTAATTTATTTATTCATTTGTAGCCATGTAATACACAGGACAATGACGATCAGGACCACGGTCCCCTTGGCTTCCTCTGAACTAACACATACTCATTGCATTGCTGATAAAACCATATGAGTGAACTGTTAAATATTAACCACTTTCACTAAGAGCAATGTTCACTAGTGGTGATTATTTCCTGTGATAATCTCTGAGGTTAGCTGTACAAAGTGCGCTCAAAAGGCCTCGTTTTCCTTGAATGTGTTGTGGCTGGTTGACGGAGCTCAATCTGATCAGACTGAGCCATCACAGTACAAATGCTGCTTTGTCAATTTTTTACGTTTTTGTTGACAACGGCAAACTTAACCACTTAATTTTGTCAGATGTCTGCTGTTAATAGTTAAGGTTACAGCAAATGTGTGCATAAACAATGGATGATCGTCACAGGTGGCAAACTTTTCATTGAAGTGAAAATGTATTAAATTCTGTGAATACAAAGACATTTTAACCATACTTTGGTTAAATCAAACTTTATATGAATCAAAAACTTCTGGAATGCATCCAACTGCTTTATACAACATTGTGTTTTAATTATTGGGCTTTGCTTAGGTATTGCTTACATATTGGATACTACAGATGTAGACCGGATTAAAGAAGTTTTGCTGAAGCGCCAGAATGCGTTCCAGATATCCGCTCATAGAGAAAGAGCCATCGGAAATCTTTTAGAGCAGACTTTAGTTTAATTAGACTGCCGGAGGAGAAGAAGAAAGACTCACGATGCACGTTGAGCTGAATCGTCTCATTCCTTCGTGTATTGGTTTATATTTATAGCCCTTGTTAGTGATGGTGGTCGTGATTAGTCTGCAGCTTTTTAGATGATAGCAAGCGTGGACAGACTGCATCCAATCAGGTACTTATCGTTAGAGTCATCAACCCAGCACATCATCTCTAGTCAGCAGCCCACTGCACTGTGTATGTGTGCACAAACTTTTACTTTTCATCAGAAATAAGGAATATTTCAAGTTTTCTTTAACCTAATGACCATATACCACATGTGAGTTGCTGTCGGAGTGTGTATAAACAAGCAGAATCCACGTTTGCCTATTACAATAATTAATATTTTACATTTTACAATAAATAAACATTTAAAATATGCTAACATCGCACTGCTTTGATAGTCTGACCGTCAGTATAACCACATTGATGTAAACATAACACAGCTTTATTCTTGAATTCAGCATGAAATCCAATTTCAATTATTTCCTTATTAAACAAAAAGTTATAATCAGTCTTTCAAGTCATGTCATCTTAAAATTGGTACGTAGTTCAAGTGAATTAAAGGGGTCATATGATGCTGCTAAAAAGAACATTATTTTGTGTATTTGGTGTAATGAAATGTGTTTATGCGGTTTAAAGTAAAAAAAAACACATTATTTTCCACATACTGTACATTATTGTTTCTCCTCTATGCCCCGCCTTTTTGAAACGCGTCGATTTTTACAAAACTAATCGGTCTGAAAAGCGAGGTGTGCTCTGATTGGTCTTTGTGTGAACATTTGGGCGGTGTTATGCAAATCTTCCCACATTGTGACGTAGATATGTGGGGGCGTGTTAGAACGAGGCGTTTTAGGTAGGTGTGGCTGACTCTTAACTTTTATAAAGAATATCTCTTTGGATTTGAGACTTTAGTCTTTACAACTTTACAGATCTTCTTTATGCACCAAGAGCTTGTAACACTCCAAAGAGAAAGGAAAAAATGAAATCGCATCATATGACCCCTTTAAGATATCTGCAAAGACCAGAAGAGACATGGAAGATGGATGTAACTCTCTGTTGATCATTGTTTACATGCAGCTCCACTTACAAAAATTATGTTGTCGATGCAAAAGCAGATACTCATACATTTCATGCAGAAAAGTAAGCACAGAAACACGCATTTCTTAGTGATTCCTCAGGCCTGCAAAGCTTACATTGTGATTGTGTTCACCGTAAACATGCATGCCGTTTGTTTGTACACAAAGAGGGACGGGTCGAAATTATTGTCATATTAAAATTATTGGTAATCAACAGCATGCACAGCTGGTTTACATAAACATTCGGGTGAAAATTCTATTTTAGTTTTGCCTTAACATAGAGGACTGGTTCCATCCAATCAGCTGTTGCATATGCGGTGTAGTATATTTCTGCATGACCTTTGACCTTGTGTTTGTGCGGTTTTTGTCTCTGCAGCCCAGAATGTGACGGTGGAGGAGATTCTGAATGCCTACAGACAAGCATGCCAGAAGCTCAACTGCAAACCAATCCCTAAAGTGCTCAAACAGATACAGGTAACAGACACATTTATTCATGCAGTCTCTCACATCTGCAAAAACATCATGGAAATAGTTTTTTTGTTAATGTAATCTTGTTAAAATTGATTTCATAAAACTGGTATCGAAAAAAGTATCGTTCAGGAACCGGTATCGAAGCCAAGGTATCGGTATCGATATCGAAAAATTTTGAAAGATACCTAGCCCTAATCCTAACAAACCATACATCAATTGAAAGCTTATTTATTCAGCTTTCAGAGGATGTATACATCTCAATTTTGAAAAATTGACCCTTATGACTGGTTTTGTGGTCCAGGGTCACATATGTGATTTTGATGCTCTTCAATGTGACGTAAAGTGTAGCCGCTTCAGTTCAAGTGAAATGCATTTACCTCAGGAAAGCCTTTCACTGTCTATAAACTCGTTAGTCCGCTAGAAGAAGTTAACTTTAGAGGAGCATTTTGTTAAATATATGCACTATATTACATATTTACTTTTGCTGTTTTTGTTTTTATTTTAATGTATTGTCTTAATGTATGTTTGAATAAATCAGTCGTGAAAGCGAGTTTTTATTTCAGCCACTGTTTATATTTCAACAACAAACTGGTGTGGAAATATAATTATATAATTGAATATAGTATAATAATTAGGTGCAATTTAAATGTTTATATATTTGAGTATTGATTATTTAATATCTTTAAATATTTACATTTATTTATTTGTTTCTTTTTTTTAAATTATTTAGTTTCAGTTTCGTTTTTCAGCTAAATAAAAACTTTAGATTTTGGTGTTTCTGTAAAAAAGTAATTTAAGTGCATCATTATTCTCCTTGAAGTCATAAAGTGTTAAATCCGCACTCACAGAAGAAGAGGGATGCCTGATCACACATTAGTATCCTCTATCGTATCCTCAGTTGGCCTGTTGCGCTGGATTACATCTGTACTCTGATCACAAACGTATAACCGACCGGTCACTTGACTCGCTTACTGAAAGCCTCTTATAGACACAGCGCTGTAAACATACCATGCTGAGCCAACAAACGGTCCTGATGACACACACACACACATCCAGAGTCAAATTCCCAAACATCAGGGATTTGCATAGAGTGTTTTATTGGTTTGGTTAGGGCTCAACATGAACGTGCCTGTTTTCTGTCAGTAAACACTTAACTATATGACTTCCTATAACAAATATAGCAATTATGTGTTCTTATTACTAATGTTATGATTTTCAAAGGGTCAAATTTGTCACATACACGGAAGCACATAAGAGTCTTAATAGCTCATCACCAAAAATCAGCCTGTTTAATGCAAAGTATCAGAAAGAGGGAGAAAAGGGGTCATGAAAAACTGAATTATGACTGTTTTTGGAGGAAAATACTTCCAGAAAGAGTCCAGGCTTCAGTTTTACTTGCATAACTTTCACATTGAGGTGAAGAAGTTGATCAAGTTTGATAATTTCATGCTGCAATTGTTCATCAATGGGTGTGCATATTCATCTAGAGTCCAAGAAGTGCATGTGAGATGAAGTCTCCATAACATGTAATGCATCAGTTAATACCTGGCTCAAAATAGACCTGAATGCAAAAGGTGTAACAATTATTAAATGGTTAAATCTCTTGGATGGATGGATGCGTGTTTTGATAGTCATGACTCATTTCCAAAGTTTGGTTCCTGTACAAAAGCTATGCATTTTTAGAAATTAAGTATCTCATCTGGGTCAAACAGACCTATATACATTATGAGGGTTAGAAAATAGACGAGATGAAAGATGAGCATGAAAGATTTCAGGTGAGACTCGACAGGTGTTATAATGAGACAGGAGGGGTAAGTGCAAGCAGATCGATAGAGAGAGAGAGAGAGAGAGAACAGTTTCTCCCATCTGCTCCTATAGCTGAGTCACTGAAGAAAGACCGACTGAGAGAAATCATGTTATCATGGCCTGATGTTTGCACAGAGATGCCAGCTAACACCCACAATCCTTCACCAACCAGCACATGCTGCTGTTCTCCTCCCCTCTTTCCCTCCGTTCACATCCCGCTCTTTTGTGTTTCCCATCTGTTACTTTTCCACTCCTTTATTTTTCTCTGCAAGTGTAGTTTTTTGTGCGCCGTGCGTGTAATGTGTTTTTGTGCGGTATGTGTAAGCTGTAGTTGTGCAGAAAGGCATCAGTCTGTTAAACCCTTCCAAGGGCCTGATGGTAAATTTCCACTGGGAGTCCCCAGGGCAGAAAATAGCCGGTCATTACTGTGTGCGTGTGTACGTATGTGTTTTTCCACCACCTCAGTCCGCGCTTGGCTTCCTCACTCCTAATTGCTTAGTCACCCTTGGAAAAATGACTTCACAAACAGGACTGTAAAAGAAATGCGTTGAAAAAGGAGAAGAGAGAGAGAGAAAGAGAGAGCTGCTAAGAAGATTAATGCTCCTTTTATGTCCGTTTACTCTGCACAGATTTCAGCTCAGCTTCAGCTTCAGCTCAATATTGTCAATAATGTGCAGCACAGTATGGGTATCATTACCCTGCTGAAAAAAACAATAGAAACTATCACAGAAATTCTTATAGTTTCCATTAAACCATTACAAAATT